CAAAATGAAAAAAAAAAAAAAAAAAAAAAAAAAAAAAAAAAACCCTCACAAAAGCTTTTCTGATTTTAGAAAACTTAATTGACCGAATAAGTGTTATGAATACCTCAATTGTACTTTCGTGTCATTTTGTCACTGACAGTGATATTAGAAGCCTATGTTTTAGATAACTGTATTCGATTGAATTTAATGAAATATATCATATTACAAGTGGATACTGAATGGTTTTTTTTTTCACAAAACATTCTGAATCATATGTGATATGTTCAACCTTTTAGCATGGTCCCTTTGTAACACTTGTAAATTGCATTTAGATTTGCAGCCATTTTGCAATCGTAGTCAAGTCCCACTATCTTTTTGTTTGTCGACCACTAGAAAGCAGCTCAAAGTCATAATTTACATCACATCATTACAAATTTGATTTTAGTTTTAACTTTTAGCTAGTGTATGGAAGCATGAAATTCAACCTTTTGGTTTTAGCTTTTAACTTTTAGCTACTTCAAATTTTACTTCATTTCGAATTCAGTCCCAAAATACCTTAAACATAAATTTCAATATTCCAATGATTTCAACAATTACTTATGTGTAGTGTTATTTCCATCGCGTACGTTTTTAAAAGTATGTTGATAGCTTTGATTAGACTATCTTGGACTCATAATACACTTATACAGTTTTATATATTGAAACGGTATAAAAATGATACAAATAATGATTTATCTTCGCTCAGTTACATCATTTTTTTATACCAAAAGACATATTTCTTATGTACACTTAAAACATGTACACTTTTTGTGAATGACTTGCACACAACTCTTAATTAGGAGGTGTTTGGAGTTATGTCTTGAAAGTAATTATTGTAACTTGAATATAATCAATTAGTTAAATTAAGATGTAGGTAAAGTTTGCATCTTCTTCTCCAGATTTAATTATTTTGATCTTAAATAATAAAAATGTTGGAATCCAAGTCAACAAACAATCTTTATATACCAAAAAAAAAACCATAAGCAAATAGAATATATTATCATGTATAAATAAATGTGAATAGTATCTGTCAAATGAAGTAGTGTTTATACTTTTTAGACTCTCAAGTGGCAGTTAAAATCTATTATAATCGAATATTTCTGAGTGTTAAAAATCTGTGATGATAGTTAATATAAATTACTTTATCTATTATTTATTCATTTTATTAAGTGAAATTGATAAATACATATAAAACATATTTTGTTTCTTCACCTTCCCATACAAAAAAAAGTTCCATTCCAAAAAAAAAAAAAAAAAAATCATCATGATTCATGATCATTTTATCTAAACACTTGAATATATTAACATACCTTCAAGTCATAATAATTACTTTTAACCCAAAACTTCCACATAAAAAAAATGTTTTTATCACACAGCTTGACAGCTTGTGACCCTGGACCTTACACATACTAATTACATTTTTATGTTTTTATAATGATGAGACTGAGCTGAGAGATTCAGTGCCTTAAACTTTAATAATTTCATATTTTCTTTGCAGGGCCCCATTCACCAATCACCGTACCACAGACTAGATTTCTTAACATAATAAATATATTAAGCCCTGCAAAATTATGGTTGTAGAAAATGCTAAACTTATATTTAAAATCGTAAAAAAAATGTAGTTTATTATGTTACATGACTTTTATATATATATATATATATATATATATATATATATATATATATATATATATATATATATATAATGGTAAATCAGATTATCTAAGCGATTCATGTCAACCTGTCTTAAAAGCCATGTAGGATGTCAAATCGCAGAACATAGCAATATTTTGGACGTGTCAGGATTTAAACTATGAACTTACTGTCTAGAATTTTACACCTCAACAACTAACTCACATCAATGACAAAAATGATATGGTCCATTTAACAAATTGATAATGTGTTTTTAGTGAAATGATCATCAGTTTTGCAATATGGATTTTGTTAATTGAAAATTGATTTTCAAATGTTCACAA